TACCGGAAGTCGGCTCAACAGGGCTCAGCTGCGCAGTATCTCATCACTGGTAGTCGCGATGGGACAGTGTGTGTTTGGAATTTTACTGTTTTTTCGGGACGAATGAAAAAGCAGGTGCGTGCTGACCGATCATTCATCGAAGACTTTGAAGCGGCCAAAAAATTAGAAACCGAAGGCGCAAAGAATAAGTCTTGTACTCACTCCATCAGTCCTGGCGGCAGTAGTGCTAAAATAAACCACCCCGATGGGTACCCACCCGAAATGCAAGAGGAGGTAGAGGCATGCGTTCAACCAGGAATGCCTTTTGACGATAGCATGTTGAACTTTGGCTGTGGATCTAAAGTGACCGATGTTGGTGTGAATTCTGGTCGAAGAACGTCGATCACAAGTACCAATTTCGTACCCATTTCTCCAACAGAAGTGGCTAAGGTGGTAAGACTCTTTCCTGCTGACAAAAGTGGACTTCCCATCAGCAATGTAGCTCTCTATCTATCTCTGGACATTGCATTGTGCGCTTCTCTTGGTTGCAACATCATTCGAATGCACGCTGTGAAGCGCGGTGTGTGGTCTCGGCAAGTGACTCTTCCTGAATTAGCCACCATCAACCACTTCTTAATTCACCCCGTCTCGACCTCCTTCTTAGTGCAGTGGAATGTTGAAAGCCCTCAAGATAGACGGCTGCGTCTAAGTCGATTCAGCATGAACGGACGATGCATTGCGGAGACGTCAGTATTTCAGGAGGGTCATATTCCGCCCCCATCACCACCGCTGAATACCCAGGTGACGCGAATGTTAGCAGCAGCGCTCTCGTCTTCAGCGAATACAAGGTACGTGGTGAGTCACATACTTGTCATAGCGACTTCTTCGGGCCACCTGATCATGCAGGAAATGGAGTCGCTGACTCAGTTACGGATATTCTCGATTGGAGCGCCGATTGTTCACATGAGCATGACCTTGACAGTTTACGGTGGAGGTGTTAATATAATCCTTCTTTTGGCCAACGGAGCCTTCGTTGTTGCCTATCCTGGTTTGACCGCCCCACTCACCACTCTCATTTCTGCCGCAGAAGCGCCGATAACAACAAAAAAAAGTCTGTGATCTCAAGCCCAGGTCGCAAAACTTTTCACCCACTGATCTTTCTCGTGAAACTTGGAATATGGATTAACTCCTTCTTTTTTTAGCAAAGAATTTTATAGTGCATGAATGTACTTGTTTGTGGCAAGGTAATAAAGCTCTCATCTGGGAAACTTAAATGTGGTTAATTGGTGTACATCTCTTTGTAGGTAAACGACCGTCTGATGCATAGTGCTTGGCAAGCCTTACTAGCATTACGGACTTTTGTCCGAAATTAATTATTTTGCTGTTGTTTACAACTAACTTTATGCTATTTATTATCTTGAAATGTGGAGTAAAATTGAAGGTGTCTTACTCCTGCATTAATTGTTTGTTCTCTTAGTTGCGTTTGTTTTCACGATTACTGTGCTCTTGAGCGTTCTGCAAGGACACAAGTATAGGCTACTCTATTGTTTTCATCTGCCTACCTTCATGAAATTTTACCACTAGTGTCTCGATAATCAACCGACTTAAGGTTAGTTGAAGATTCTGTGATTGTAGAGAAGAAAATCACGTAAAATTGGTTGGGCAGTTGTTCAAAAATTTCGATTTTGTCGACACAGTGTTTTAGGGGAGGAAATTTATTTTGGAGAGTGCTGGTGCTTACAAGATTCACAAACGCGGACTAACTTATGACGTCGGATGTCATTGCAATGAGGGATTGTGAAATTATTTAAACAACTAGTTTTGGCGCAGGCCAATGTAAGGAGGTGGCATCCGTTGGCCTCACAGGCCACCGTTTAGTTTTGCTCGCTCACATTGGGCCACTGCAACGTTGTGTTGCAGTCGCGTTATTGTTTCTCAAGTAAAGGCTTTTCTCCAAAGTGATCACTTTGAGCTAATCCCTACAAAGGCGAAAAAGCTTTTCTGTCTAGGAGTATAAAGTTTCTGCTACTCAAGAGATTTATTTGGTTCATCTTGCTGACTTGAAATACTTGCACAGTAAATTCAGCAATTTGCGTGTCGTAAGCCCTTGTCCAAAGCACAGTTATAAAAGTACTATGAGGCACCTCTAGTAAACGAGCTGAGCAGGTCATGAACTGCCTTACGCTCTTACAGCATTACAGATTCTTTTTTCCAATTCTCTTATTTCCGTTCCACAAAAGATTTTTTTATGTGAGGCTACAAAGACGACACAAGAATCACGCATACAGTTTTCAATGTCTGCTTATTTAAGTGGGTACTTTATGGGAGAACCACTCTTACACTCGAAAAAGGAACTAAGATTTTGGAAGCGAAGCATCACGTTTACAATGCCTTTAAGTTGACAAACTTATTGTGCGTATAGTCAGTAGTTAATTAATCATGCGTCGTGAAGCTGGGCCGGTTAGTGGCGTGACAATGGAGAGGAGCGAGCAAGTGACCAGTTGTTGCCATGATTGAGAGTTTGCAAAATGCATCGAAGAACCGACTTAAGCTAACCGAAAGGTACCCTAGCTTGTGTCCACACCTTGCTTTTTATTTGCGACTTCGCTTTCCCAAAAGCGAAGGTCGTTCTTGTGCTCTGTCTCTTCCCCTCGATGACAGGAAAACAGTAGCTAATGTGAAATGTCAGCATGCATTGTTATGAACAAAGCGCTATAATAACACATTAGAGAAGTTCGTTGGAATGAAACCTTGGGAGAGCATCAATGAATGGTGCTTAGTGCATCTACAGCCTCCACTCGCTTAAGTGCACAAGTTTTCTTTTATGACCTTAGTTTTACTGTATTTACGGTACTTACTTTATTTATATAATGTGGCATCAAAAATAATACACAAGCAGTTTTCTGTTGCGTCTGGGCCAAGTTACTTTCCTCCACACTGTCGTTCCATAGTCGTTCATCAGTTAAGAGTAACTGGACCGAGGATGGTCGCAGAGCATGCAGACATTTGTAAGAACATAGGATTTCGTTTCTATATTACGTGTAGGAATTTTCAGACGCTTCCTTCATGCGTCTGCAGAACTCAAGTGGTACATGAAAGGAGAGAAGACTATGCAGTTTAGCAAAAATTTACCCACAACACCGAGGCATTGCCTTCCGTTAGAATCGTTCTTATCATGGGTATTTTATTTCTTCTCCATTAAATGAAAGGGAGTGGGAGAGATATCCCAGCGCATAATACTTAACACGCATTCTTCCAGTGGTGAAATGGTAGATTGTTTGTAGGTTTGTTGAGGATCAGTGACATGCGCATTGCTCTACTAAGTATTTAACCGCTAAAGCATGAAAGTCATTTCTTACAGTAGGTTAGTCAATCAACTCAAATAATATTAAAAAAAAACTACAGTGTGGAAGAAGAGCAATTTGCTGGCTCTTGAGATATGTTGCCATCTGTTAGCACATGGATTGTGGGACTAATCCGCTCCACAACTTACAAAGCTTACCCGTTTTGGTTGATTTTAAGTTCACTCCAACACTCTGATTGTCACGATCATTGAACTCGAGAATTTGCCGAGACGTCATTACGACTTGTCGGAATCAACAGCGAAGCTTAAACCATTTCAAAGTTGACTTAATTTGGACTTTATGTTTCAAACCCACCCACCAGGTTCAGCAATACTGAAAAACTTGAAAACTTCTTCTTTTTCTAGCATATGCCAATACCGACTTAATTGGAGGGAGGGAAATTTAGATTTTCGGGAGCCAATTCGAAAAGAGGAGATAAATTGTGCAAAGAAATTCGTAACCCTTTCTTTTGGAAGATGCCAGAAAGCAGGCTACTCTGTTTATATTACCTTAGATGGCATATTTTTGGCAAAAGCAGTACAACAGAAAAGCAAGCCAATGCCCAATAAGAGCAAAGAAATAAGTTGTGTAAAAGAGGGTGAATCAACTGAGTCATACTCGACCCTCAATGCACCATAGTCTAATGGGAATTGCTTAGCACATCCAACAATCGTGCTAAGGGTAAACCTTTGGTTTTCAGCAGAAACAGGTCTATGACAAAGATATAAAAGGCAACTTAACTGAAAGTCGCCATCATTTCATAAACCAAAAGTGCTCATCTCTCGTACGCCTGTGTTGTCAAGTTTGGACCGTAATATCTGCCACCATCAAGTGAATTATCATTTATTGAGGAGCTGACGTGTCAACGAACTTGTTAATCTTAGCTGTTAAATAGTTGATTTTTGGACACTTCTCTTTAGAAGTCTACCATTCTGTCTCGGATAGCTTGATAGCTTGAAAAGTAACCGACCTTACAAAAAACACAATTGTGATGTGATTGTCTCAGTCACCTTACTGAAATCGTCTAAAAGAGAAAAATTACAACTCACTGAAAAATGGTTGATTTTTTTTTCAATTGTTTTCAAAATATTCGCGATTCTGTTCATGTATTGCTCTCAGCTGCAGCACCAAGTTGCCGATTCATAATCCTTTTTTGACACATTGCATAAAGTATTAAAAATATTTCTATGCAAGGTAAGATATTTTCATACCTCCCTGACGTTCAGGGCATGAAGACCATTAAAGTGATTGGAGAAACTATATTCAATGTCGTTGAGGCAACTCACAACTTATGCCTCGGCCCGACATTACCAAAGTGAGTAGATGAACACGTATGCTCCTAACTTTATTTAAATATAGACAGTTCCTGATCGGAAAAGCATAAACTCAAAAATGTTAAAATTCAAAAAGTAAGGAAAAAAACCGGAGGTGAAAAGAGGGGCACTTAATCGGTCCGTACACACGTCGAAGCGAACAGCTTTGCGTGATTGGCCAAGACTCCCTGCAGGAGGAATCTGATTGGCCACAAAGAGAGCCAGGTACTACCGCCGCGTTTGTGCACCCTTCCATCTTCAATGGATGAGTTAAAAATCATGCGCACCCACGCACACATGCATCGTATTTTCCTGTCCTAAAATGGAGTATACTTGAAATTCAGGAAACCGAAATTCTTCAAAAATGCACAAACTCGCACCGGTCCTATCACTCCTATTGGTTTTGGCTCATGCGGATGGGGCAGCCTTCCTCTCTAAGTGGCTGCTCAGCCCTATGGGTCGTAGGCAAAATCCCGGCTCCCTCTGGCAGTGTCCTGCCCTCCCACCAGACATGAATTACTGCTCGTACTCTCCCTCCTCCCCTGAGTCCATTCAGGAGGCTAACGTGTGGATAGCCCTCCTAAGCTCACGCTGTCATCCTCAAGCTATGAAGTTTGTCTGCACCGTCTACAATCCTGTTTGTCTCCACTCCCACCAAGTTATGCCAATCCTGCCCTGCCGTGAGTTCTGTACTGAGGTACGTTCGGCCTGTGTGTCGAGGATGTATCTCTTTGGATTTAAATGGCCTCAACAAGTGGACTGCGATCGCTTCCCCAGCGAGGAGATCAGCATGTGCATAAGCTCCAGAAGAGAAACTGGTGAGTAATGTGCTCCTTTTAAAACTGCATCCGAGAGAGTATGGAATAGCACAAGCTACCACAAAATGCAAAAGCACTTTTGAACTCCAATTTAGCAATACAAACATTCCGACATTCCAAAGTTGCGAACCTCATCGTATCACATCTACAACAAGTAAATTTAGATTTCGCCATCTCCAGTTTACTTAACAAGCGTCGGCATCGCCAAAATTGAACGGGATGGGTACTCACTCAAACAAACACCGATTTCTACGTAATCTATGCGTTTATTCGCATTAATTATGCAAAGGGGAGCGAGAAATTCGGTGATTAAGTGTCGGGCTCTTGCCGACATTGGAAAAAATTTGTCATTTCGATAAAAGTAAACGCTCCGATATTTATTGAACTTGGAGGTAAGGATGAAATATAATCACATCCAAAGGCTACATGGATAGTAACAGCACCGACTTCAAAAATAGGTCCTACCGGCTGAGCATAAGTTTGACTATGGGAAGGAAAGTTGGCGACTATTGAATGGTTAATGCACATTTTGAGATTGTGCTGCGGGACGAGTCAAAATTATGAGCACTTTGTTGCTTCCTACTTAGACTAATACAGAAGTTTAAAAAGTTCTAAAAATCTCCCAATCAGCAAAGCGAATGGTTAAGCGGTGCGAGTGCATACCATCCAATCAAAAACAAATAATATCCAATCCTCATTGGGGTTTGTTACCACACTCACCTAATTCTGTTATTCATACAAAGTATTTTAGTGACCTCAAGACAGAAAGTAATGATAGGAGCTTTTACTGCCTCCAATTCTGGGCATTTTAATATTACAGCACATTTAATGCCTCGTTTGTGGCCGAAAACGTGTGTTGAAAGGGAATGTTTATGGTTGTGGTAATATATTACTCAAACACATACATTCGAACGAAAATAAAAGTGGTTGGGTGCATTTTGTTAGCGATTTGGAGAATTAAGCTTTGTGCCCTGGCTAAAAATACTCCAATGGCGCCTTGGGGACAAAGGAGTAGTGAGGTCCCTTGGTAGGGCATGCATTGCCTTATAAAAGCCCTTGCTTACCCTACAGAGCTGTCACATTCAAACGTTTCAAAAGGTGAACGTGACTGTCAGCGTACATTTTCTGGGCACCCATGCAAAGGTGCGCTGAAACGTTTTCAACGCTTAATTGGAGTTTAAATAAGTGGATTGCATAAAAGGCACCTGCGGTTAGCCAAACGGAAGCGTTTGTGGTTTTCCTTAATGTGGCAATGCCAATAGGTCTTTCAAGGAACATTTTGCGTTTCATATCTATTACCCTGCTGCATTGAAGCAAGCCAAAAACAGCCATTTACAATGAGGAGACATACATTAAGGACAGTAAAAGCCATGCACGTAAGGGCAAATTGTCAGAAGCCGTAGCCGGTGTTTTGGCAACGTGCGATGCTATCAAAGACGAACTCGAGTAGAAGATTGGCCATAGGGGAAAACGAGTGCTGTTTTGGACGGGGAAAATACTGTCCGGAAACGAAAGTCACCAAAAGCAGAACTCTGCGTGCACACACACGAGTGCGGATCATCTCGCGGAGCTTTATCGCTAAATCCATCAGAAACATCTGCCGCACACTTCGTGCGGCAAAGTGCGCACTGTCAAATGTAACTACGATGGATTGTCTTTCATGTCGTCTGGCGGTATTCACATTTATTATTTAATGCATTGGGTTCAAGTTCGATGTAATACGACGTGCAAGGTCGGAAATATTGTATTGAACAAACTCCAGATAAGAATTTCATTCAACTTTCAACTCCAAGAAAATCGGAACCAATGCGTTCGCTGTACTCTCGAAACAAAATGGTAGCGTCGAAATATGAAGTGCTCTTGTGAAAATATCACCAACATTTTTTAATCAAATGTTCTTAACTGCCATGAAATTATAAAGCAGCCAAGGGCTTCCTTCAACCACATGAATTTCAGCTGCAAAGCCCACCTGTGAGGATGAGGAATGGGGAGGAGATGGTGAATGTGAAGAGCTGATAGTCAATGATACACCTTAAAGTCAGTTTTAATGCATACACATTTGATTTTGAATAACATTGTTGCATTGTAAAAGCTGAGATCTCAGCATTACATGCTGATAAGGAACATGCGTTCGCAACCATCATGAGGGTGAATTTGCACACTCTGTAATAAATCAGCCATGATGCAACTAACAAGCACAACTTATTTGTGTCGGCTTTTCCCTTTTGAAACATCCAGAAAATTGCTTGGAACTAGTTTATTCAGGTTCAAAGTAGATATATAAGTTGAAGGGCAACTTAGGTAGACAAGGGAAGGGGTCCTCGAATTCGATGACCGCTCGAATGAAATCACTTGGCCTGTTAAAGGTTTAAAAACCTTTACTTCAATGAGATCTAGAAAAGGTACTCATTGCATTGTATATTCTTTGTGGCTTTCAATAGACCGAAATTACGTTCTTAGCACTGAAACCAACAACTCTAGAAATCTACCTCCGTTGCCAAGTATTTTGGCCAGCTGGAAGCATTTGTTAGCTCACTATAATGGCAACAATTGAACGGAACTACTGGCGGTACCGACGTTCATTAAAGTCCCCTGTAAGGTCGCTAGTGTTGTTTCGTTCCTCAATGTCTTTGACCTGTTTGAACATTCCAGGACATCAGTATATATGTAGTAGCTCCTTCTAGAGGGTATCCGCCCTATCTAAACCGAAAAGCACCGTTGTCGAAAATTCGGCATTACCACGATGTTGAAAAGCAAACTTTTGTTGAATGCAAGCGAATGAAAGCTACAGCATTTGTAGCTATAATGTGTTTCATACCACTCGCTGTTTGACGTGACTCAACGGTCTGTGCGGTGCTCAAGGTTGTGCCTCAGCAAATTTAGTGACAATGGTGGCATTGTGAGGAATAATTTTACTTTTTTCATTAGACCTTTCGTCGACGTATTCACTAAATTGTGCCACCACGAGTGGCTTATCACATATTTAGATTCAAAAACTTGGAAGAAAAACCAGTTTAAAAGAAAGGGACACTAGCAGGTTGTTTGGTTACATGGGTCAATTTGACGAAAAAAATGTGGGATGGACATGTAGTGTTTAGGAGGATGCACCTACTTATGCCAACTACCTTCGTTCTGGCATCGTCGCAGTTCAGACGGCTTCCTTTCTCTGATAATTCCCTCGTGCCATCAAGTAGAGGTCACTATGTTTTTCTAAACAAAACAGAGTATAAGCTATTAAAGTAAAATGTAATGCTGACGGACGGAGAGTGAAGCTCCAATAACTCTTCCCATCCTTCGTTTTAGTGACCTGCAGTCCGTGTGCCCAGGAGGCTAGTAGGGAGAATATTGTCAGAAAGTACTGTCAGGCAGACGTTGGTAGGTTGTTTTTGCTTTAAAGTGCTTTTGAAATAGTAATGTTCTTAGTAGAAAGAGACGCATTAGTAAAATTAAATGACCGTTTTGGGATTTCCGAATTGTATTTTTTTGTGTTGGATTTGAGGAAAGTGCTTTGCGATGTCATTAGGGCTTAATTTGATGGATACATGGGATAAAGCTCGCAAAACTTCAATCAGAACCGTGTCACCAATGCCTACGAAACGCTAAAGACCTATCTGTTGCAGCTGGTTGGATGAAAAAAATAATTTTGAAAGTGCACAATGGGTGCTTGCTTAAGTGGAGGGATTGTTTGTTTCTAGGATGACCAGTTTCGAACTATTGAGAGCAACGGTCTTTACCCACGCCGCGCGTTCTGCAACCTAAAATAACCAACTGACGCCTCTCAAAGGGAGGGAAGTCTGTTTCCAGGACCATCGTTAAAGGCGGCAAGATCTTAAAAAATAAAATGATTCTAATAAATAACTCATAGACAATCTGCGCCTTTCGGCATGCAACCAGACATTCTGTGCTTGACCAGTGATTGAAGTACATTAGCCCTACTGTTAAGCTCTCCTTCGGTGGGAGGACAGCAAGAATTGTCGATGCAACGAAACGCAGCATGTGTGTGACATTTTTGTCCAACTTAGGATGACTGCCAAGATTTTTGTACTTATCACAACGATTTAGGCTTTTTCAATGCCACTGTGAACCATCTTCATAACTTCGTCCTGCCTACACTTTCACCTGTGATCGAGGATGTTAGACCAGCCCTCCAGTCAGGCTGATTGCATACAAAATCGAATGATTGCTCTCCCACCTCCATAAGGGGATTTGGGATGGCAGTTGTTGATTCAAAATTAACTTTAACCATGAACTCGAAATTATGAACCTATCAACGGATGCACATTGGTGACTGCGAAATCTAACAATTGAAATTTAATCACTTAAAACTGTTGCGAAAGTAAGTGGGCATTTACTGTGGCTAGTATTCGTTTGCCAATTCGATGCCACCACAAAAAAATGCCTGTAAGATTAGGGAGAGGAGCTCCTCTAGCCTGATTGACACTTGCAAAAGTGTGGTGTGGACGGATGCGAGTAGGAAAGGGAAATCCAACTCCGAAGAAGTTCAGCATTTTCTCGACTGAATACCTTCCAACAGGAACCAGACGATGAGTCACACTTGCGTAACAAAAATTTGTGCATCAAAATAATGTAAATCTTTATGCGAATCAAACTTTTTCAATAGCAACAAGAAATACGCAAAAAAGGAATATTTGTGTGGCGATCTGTGCACTCGGACTGAGGGCTGCGTTTTTTTAAATTGAGAGATTGATTGCGAATCTTAGCATTAAAGTGCTATAAAGTGGTTGAGGTGCGTGTCACCTAAATTAAGATTTCACTGATTGTCTGCAATGTGGACAGAATTACCAATGACACTTAGGATCTATACCCATTGAAAGCGTGCGATTTATAAACGGAAATAAAATTTTATTCTCATGAAATACGAGTATGCTTTTGATTAGAACTTCGTTTGTCTTCGCTATTTGCTTGATATAGCATGCTTATTAAATTATAGTGATAAAGAGTCAAATCTCGGGCGTGACAGCCTTTGGAAACACATCGAGCCTCTTGGTCAGCCTAGATCGGATCTCAGAACAACTACTACCCCAGCCACCCATACATTCACCAGGCAGTTCGAAGCCAAACGGGTTTTTAGCCTCCTCCACCGGCTTCGTGGACACCAACGACGAGCGCTTACTGCTGCTTAGCCAAGTGAGACGATTGAAGCATGAATTTGACCTGGAAAAGGGGGTAACTGATATGCTGGCATATGATCAACCTGCTGATTTCCCTTCCACCACCCCTGCATCAAAATCACAAATGTCACCTGTCGCGGAGTCGAAGGACACCAACGGCATTGCACAGTACTCCAAGTCTGAACGCAGGTAAAGGATACATAATAAAAGTCTCGATTTAAGATGCATGCACTTTATCAACGTCGCATAAGCTACAATCATTCGAATAGAAAGCGTAGACGAGAAGAGAGACTTCGAGGAAGGCTGAGCAAGAGACGTCGCCGTGACAAGCGTTCTTCGCTAATTCCCCTTCCACCCGCAATGGAAACGTCGCTGGGCCAGAGCATGCTGCTGGAATGTGCAGGATGCTCACTACAGCTGCCCACTTCACCAATGGCACCGAATTCTGCTACACGTTGGCTAGTTATGGCCAAGAGGTTAGACAAATCTCGTCTTAACCTCACCAACGCGTCACCAACCATGCAGGTGAGGGAGTGCAACGGCAAATATATAGGTTAGGCCAGTAACGGAATGCTAAATCAAACTCACATACACCTCCACTGTGGGTAGGAAAGTTGAGGCGTGTCTCATCATTGCATCAGTAAATGTTTTCTATTGGGCTGCATAGGTGAACACAAGAGAGTATGGCAAAAAGGAATATTGAATGAATCAATCAAAATCAACGTTTTTGAAATCATCGATTCAGAACATCGACGAAAGTGTTTAGAAGACCAAAAGAGTACTTGTGAAATTTAATAAATATGAAGCTATTACAGTACATTTCTGTATTATCTGATAGTGGCAAGACCAAAAGTAGGCTTTGGTTCTGACCCCACTGTGAGTAGTTCTATTTTCCGTAGTCTTAGCTCTTTACCTCAGTTTTGTTAGTTATAGCTTATGGCTTACTTGATTTAGATAACCTCATTGATGGCTTGGCAGAAGGACTCTCCGGGTTTCCGTGATGCTCTTCGTGACATTCGCACTATACCTCGAGCAATTCTCTGTAATCCAAATACAAAGGTGGAATTGAATTTGGATGGCTTTCATCATACCGAAACAACCACAACACTTCCAATGCCCCCACGCCAATCTGTGCGAACAAGTTGGAGTAGGCAAGGATGGGTAACCCAATCAAGGCAACCTACACCACCGTGGAACCTACCAGTCCCCTTCGAAGGCCTCTTTCAGAATGATGCTGCAGAAGGAAACCGCAAAATGAAAAAGCATCGGCGAAAAATGCGAAATCAACGCAAACAATCCGGCCAGCGGCAAAATGCTGATCCGATGAAGGCGAAACCGAAGAATGGGCAAGAGAAGGAGCGCCGCTGGCGCCGTCGACAAGCCAGAAAGGAGCGGCTGGCTCGCATGTCTCCTCAGCAGCGCGCGGCATGGCTGTCTCAGCGACGCGCTCGTAGAGCACAAAGACGGGCAAAAAATCGTCAAGTGTCTCAGCATCAAGCATACAATCAGACAACAGGATCACACGTACCGACACCTTAAGCCTCCTTTCTACCCTTGACCTATCTACAGCAACTCACTACCACAGCTGCAGTGTCCACTGTGTTCCTCCCAAACGCCCTTTTTGGTCCAAGTTCTTGCACAGAAGGTGTTCACATGCGTTCACGCCACACACTCAAACATGTTATGTGTAGACAGACCTGCCATAGAATAAGCATCATTCAAGTCTATTTTACCCAATGAAATAAGAGAAGAATTTGTTTTTTAACTTCGCCATGCGTCTACTGTAAAATAAGGGGAACTGTTTATTAGTAACAGGCAGATTTCAAATTTCCTATCTACCATTTTTAAATTATTAGGAGTAAGAATTTCCGCTTAAAGAATGCGATCACCGTAAAGTTGTAGGAGCGGGATAAATGGCAAGCAAAACTATCAAAGTTAACAGTGAAATCTGACTAAGGGCATTAGAATGCGAAGGGCAACAGCATCACATGTATTTAAAAATGCAGACAAAGCGAAAGCAAAAGGCGGAGAGAAATGACAAATTTATAAGGGTGTTGCTAAAACATGATCCTTTATAGGGAAATGGTGAAGCAAGGTGCTATGCAACGACAGAATAAACAGAAAACCAATGACCGCCTCCCCACATAAATGGACTTCTATTTTAGTCTGTTTTATTGTCAAGAAATCCTATACGTGCTTAAAATGACCCATAAAAGTGTCAGTTTGCAATTTGATAGTGGACGCAGAGATACCCACCACAAACAATGAGGTTACCATTGAATAATTAAAGAGCACTATGGACCGCATGTGGACCGCATGCTAGAACCCTCTGTTCCTAGGACTTTTGAAACCAAAAAGGGAGACGGATTTCCTCACCCCTTTGAAAGTCTTAACCTGGTTTAGGCCTCCTCAACTGAGTCACGTCATGCATGAATGTGCAATGAGTGAAATGACACTGATCCACGCTCAGCTCCTGGTTTCTATTCGCTTCTTTACATTCTATGCTATCCAACCGTCGAATTACTTGCACATCCATCCGGTCGCCACCCGCCTGCTCCCTCACCTCTGTCAATAAGGGGTCCTATCAGAAAGACGTCATCCTCATTCACAGCGACTAACGACGCACCTCATAGCAGTGCTCGAAAGATTTTTGATGGGTGTATAAGCCTAAGTCAGGTAATCTTATGAAATGAATCCTACATAGCACAAATAATCGAGTTGAATAGTAGTGACGAAAGACATCAGTCATGTGTTTAACTGCAATGACCAAAGGATTTCGAGTAAAATAACTAAACGTGCATTCATAAGGGTCTGTGGTCTAGTGACTACAGTAATTAAACTTTACCTTAAGCGAACTAGACTAAAAGTAGAACTGTTCAGTGTTTTAGCGAAACCAACAATATATCCGACCTATGTTTCCTGAGAATGGTTATAATAAACTGCGAGAAGCGTGTATTATTTCAAGACAGAGCTTGCTCATTCACAAAGGACTACAGCGTGGACATCATTCTCGATAGATTCATTGAAAACTTTACAAGTGCTTCTAAACCTATGGCATCATTAGTTCGTCTACGAAAAGCCAACTGCACGAAACCATCTTCGTGTACAACGTCACTTCTACTTAAACCAATCAGTAAAGTCATACGTTGCGCACGACTGCGCAGAACAGAACGCACTCGCGGTGCCGCTTCAACCCGCCAATTTAACTGCTCGGCCATCTCATTCGCCATTGATCGCTCTCCCACCTAGAACCATGCAGCCATATGGGCAAAGTTTATAATTCATGCAGAACTCAGAACGCTAAAGTGAAACGCAACAGATGAACCTACACATGTCCTGCCAGTGCGCGCATTGAAATGGCTTGCATAGGGTAATTGAAGTGATAAAGTGCTTTGTACACCTTAATTTGGCTCAGTTCATTGAGGTTGGGTCTTCTGGCATAGTACGCAACACTCACTCAGCGTACCAAGGGATGGCATTGTCTCAACTAATTGGCCCGTCTGAAAGGCCAAGTATCGCCACCCAACAAGCGGCATTACGAACATTCAAATAGAGGATCTGCGTTACGCTAATGAATAAAGTACATTTATTGACCCGAACAGTGTTGTTGAAAGACCATTACAATGTTGCTCGAGACGGTAAATCCCAAACTATCGTTGAAATACAGATCAGTCGTGAAAACTTGATAAATTCAACAACCTACTACCTGCATGCAGCCAAAACCGAGACCAGTTAAAGTCAAGGACTTTCCCAATCTGTGTTAGTGAAAATAACCTCGGTGACGTGACCCACATGAACACTACAAACCAGAAAAACCACTGCTTATCATGACACAGCGACGTACGACAGCAAAAAAAATTGCAAATCAAATCAAGTCTCGCAACAATTCCAATCACTTGATCCTCTCTGTACATCCGCGAGTCAAATTATCCATATTTAACCATCCCTGTGGAGTCTTCTAGACGAAATGACCACTAAAAGCACCCAGTAACGCGTCTCTTAAGGGTCGAAATCCGCCAAAACATTACTCAAAGCAGTTGACTATGAACTAAAGGACATTAGTGAAACTGGAAAGTGGATCATTATGGTTTGCACCATATTTGCATTACTTAAAAACCAAAAACACATTCATTAACACGAGTAATGACGGTGGAAATATAAACAATTATTTTACGATTAACACATGGACAATCATTGGGATAGAGATGCACTTCCGTGCTTGCAGGTCAAAAAATGAGACACTCAGCCAGAGGCCTATGATACAAACGAACAACAACGAGAAAGTTGTGCCGTTTTAGATATCCATATTTTTTACACCTTGTCAGAACCATGGCCTTGTTGCAGAGGCCATACGTTGAGCAGATCGAAGTACTGTCCATCGTTAGCTCCGTCTGAAACAGGCGAAGCGGGAGTGTAGCCGGACGGAGCCGCTGTAGGAATGAGAGGAGGGTGTGGTGGCAGAGGGGGAGGCCTGTGCGATAAAATGAGATTTTGGGAAGGCGGTAGAGGAGGCGGAGGTGGAGGCGGCAAGGACAAAGTATCAGAAGAGTGGAATTCCTGCCGCTGATGGGACTGAGGGGCCGCAGCCTCTAACAGACGTGCAATTCGTGTGTCCAAGTCGTCAGTAGTACCGCGAACATACGGCTGCGGCAGAATTGGAGGCGGAGACAGTTGCGGTGGCGGTGGTAAGTGGGCCTCCCCATTGCGCAAAAACTTTTGATAATGCTCCAATGGATGTGGTAAGGCATGCGGGCTGCGAGCTCTCTCTCTCCCTAGACGGCGTCGGTTTTCTGGTGAGAGATGATCAATTCGTCGAATCCCTGCTTCCTGTACCTGGGGAGGTGGTGGACGGTGTAACTCGACGTCAAAAGATGACTGATAGGATGAAGACGAGGGAATGGAAGAGGATAACAGATTTGTAGGAGGGACATGGGTTGAGGAGGGACCAGAACAAAAATGAGGTAATTGTGGTACGCAAGCATCAGAATCCAACGTTACTGTCGATGGCTGCAACTCAGTTTGCGGAGAGGAAGCCGGTTGTTGATTCCTTGAAATCGTCGCAGCCATTTTGTCCCTGGTACGTTGGAAGAAGACCTGTTTAACAGCGGCCACAGTAGCTTCAGCGTTAAGAGACTTAAAGAGAGAATTCGATGGCGAGAGAACAGAATCATCGTCACTCTCCATACTCTCTCCACCCTCCAAATCACCAAGTGAGGGAGCTAATCCTTCGGAGTCCGATCCGTTTGATGGTGAGAGGGGACCTGGGACGTCCTGAATTGGACATGCAGGCTGATCAGGGAGAGGAGTAGAGGAGTGAGATGCAGGAGTGGCACCAGAGGGTATCGGCAGCTGTGGTACAGATGGTGAGGCTGGTGATGGTAAGGCCTGTAAGGCCGCATTTGAAGGAGGCGCTAAGGATTTGGTAGGCTGGATTGGAGATTTCGACGGAGGAGGTGGTTTCTGTTGAGCGGTGCTTGCCCGAGGTTGTTGTACATCCCGAAAGATATCAGCGACCGATGAGGGACCTGTTTGGGAACTCGAAGTGAGCAGTCGCTTATTGTTTGCAATTAACTCCGCATGAGCCTCCTCCATCTAAAATGTTTGAAGGGTATGATTGCCAAATACCCAAAAAAAATCGAAGTACATGCAACTGTCAGTGTGAGTTCAGCATACCTCTTCCTTGGACGCATTTTCTCTTATTTTCAAAAACCGATTAAAAACCTTGAGAGCAGCAATTCTCACATCCATGGAAGGCTTGTAACGCGAACACTGCAAACGGTACACATGAACAGTCAGAAGAAGGCTGAAGTCGAATTGAATTCAGTCGAAATAATATGGAGCCAAGGTTTCTACTGCGGAAACTAAAAATCAGTTCAAATACTATAGTGAGAAGTAGAAAAAAAACAACATTAAGAAGTCCAATGCAATTATTTGTTATTTACATAAAATGCAATACTTTAACCACTGCAACCCATCCTATGCAGCACTTACAAAAAAGCAAGCTTCATTAAGCAAATACGAAAAATAGCACTATGGAACTTACTAAACAATTGCTTTGCTTATTAAAGGTTTAAATGATAATTCACGAGTAAAGGAAAACCGGACTCGCCTTGCGGATCGTTTCGACAATGACGCCGCACTTGACGAGAACGGGAAGAGTGAGCTCCATGTTGTCAAGTGCCTCCAACCGCTGAAGACAGGTAGGGATATCTTCTTGACCTCGAATGAGACTTGTCTTGATTGCAATGTCGATTTTATGAAGCCGTGCTTCTGTTCCCAGCTCTGTTTATCAAAGTAAAAAAAATAGTTTTGTGAAATTCAATTTCAAGAAGTATGCCACCCATCCAAGTGCGATAAATACAAACTACATATACCAAGCAAGTTTCATTGTTGAGAGTACAATTAATCAATGTACATTTGCTTTGAGAAGCGAAACGAACCTTCGAGCTGTTTTTGCCCATTCTGGTAGTTCTGACGATTGTTTAAACGATTACTTAACTCCTCTGCAGTCATTGAAACACTAAAAATGACGAGGATATGTACAAAGAATACCGAGGGACTTTAGTTATGCATTGAAGGGAATATTACTAGAGAAGACATTTCAAAACGCGGGCGATGCTTTAATGAGAGCAATAAACTTCTAAAATTCCTAATAGATGTTGCGAAAAGCTAACAACCTACATAGAAAAAAGGCTTACTTTGACAGTTTTAGACGAGGCCTGCTAACGCTGGAAGAGCCCTAAGCGAAAGTAAATTTATGTCGCAGGTCAGATAACAAATAAAGCAACGGAGATGAAAACGCATTATCATATACAGTCCAGCCAGCGAAGTCCTGATAGCGAAACGGAGTAAAAGCAATACCCAGTCGAAAGCAATGTGATTACAATTGAAATTCTTCATAAAAAAGGCATTGCTATGTAAAACATCGTGAGTGAAAAAAATGCTCAGAATTTTGGGCGTTGGAAATGATAGATATCAAATTAATTCAAGAAGGCTGAGGAAGAAGTTTTGGAATGCCTTGGGTAACCTCTCGTAACGGAAGTTCTCCTCACTCTTGATCGCTCTCGCCGGTGTGCAAGCGAAGATGGCAGGGTTCGACGCTTCTTGTATCGCTGTGATTCGCTTACAAGCGATCGTTTTCGATTATCGCGACGGTCTGGGTCCGTAGATGTGGATGACTCCTCGGTTGAAGAGGATGATATTGGACGCTTCAACCTTTCGAAAGTTACCGATTTTGGTTTATCCTTCTGCTTCTTCAACCCCCTTTGATAAGAACCATCCCTTGAATGCTGAGAACTTTTGGGTGAAGTAGGAGACTACAGAAAATGCAAACACTTCCTAGGCTTGATGTCTGGTAATCAAGGTGATATCCCTTAAGAATAGATTATCAGTCAACATACAGGAGCTTTTCGATGTAATCTTTTGGAATTGATGAAAAGAATAGTTTCTGGAAAAATCAATACAATTTTTACCATGTTGTAATTGCAGTGAAGAGAGTAAGCATGTGGCCCGGTAGTCGAGCTCGCAACTAATGACTACACTATAAACGTAGTAAGTTTAGTACCTTAATTAATTAAAAACCAGACAAGCTGCCAGTAACAACACTTATTTACCCAGAAAGAATACTTAAAAAAAGTGAGATCTTCGTTCCTCAGACGATGGGAATGAATACCTTAGTCTGATTAATCTGAGTAAATACCTCATGCAGCAGCATGAATAATCGGAGGGGAAAGCATGCATATGCTCAATTAGTTTGAGGCGTATACAAATAAAAACTCGTTTTTGGTCAGCCTAAATTGTATAAAGTCAGATTTAAAGGAGTACAGTAGAGGAACTGACCCAACAGTCGAAATTCATCACTGTTTAAGACTACCAAAGATCTACAACTTTATAGACACCAATCGACTCGGCGGGTAAACCGACAGAAAACAAGGGCACGTAAGACACAAAACGTACCTTGTCAGGAGGTACATAGTCATCGGAAGCATCATTATTGTGGGCGGCTGTAGGATGCCAATCGGCGTCCTCGTTGGAGCCCTCGTCGTCACCGAACGTAATTCCAGCTTTAAGGAGCCTCATGGCCGAAAACTTACTTGCCGACTTACGCATCGGACGACCAAGTGCTGTAGTTGCAGGAGCTCTATTCGTTGGCGATATTGTATCAGTGGAGCCACGATTAACTTCACCAGTTTCAGAGTCCAATGGCGACTCCAGTCTTTCACCAGCAGCACTGTCTGTCGTCAGTCTGAGGCGCAAATAATAACCGTTTGAAGCTTGAAGAGCATATGAAAGCAGAAGACAAAGCACATAAATTGGTATGAGGAACTGAGAGTGGGGAACTAGAGGCCGAACCCATAAATACATGAAACGTTAACTTTTGAAATAAACGAGTGCCATATAATAATTTCAATGTGTGAGTCCAAGAAAATACCAGATATCAAATATGCCTCCCAAATCTGTGGTAAGCTAGGAAGATGAACTTGAACCTCTCGGGAAAAAATTGCCGATTACAGGACCAGACACACAAATGAAGATGCTCAACTTACTTCTCACCATCATTAAGAACACTACTTGATTGCTTTTCCGTTTTTGTTACTCGCTTGCTAAATCGGCCTTCTACAAGAGTTAATGCAGAAAGTGAGATCAAGCAATCAAATCAGATAAATATTGAAGATCGTTTGGCATAAGCGGTATGCGTCTTTCCTTAAAACCATCACAATCCATGAGCACAAACCTACGATAAGTAGGGAAACGTATACGAAACAACGACCATAAACCTCTTTGAGATGCATTAGAAGCCAGAAAGTATTTCATAGGAAGAAAGAGGATGAAAATAAGAAAACGATGCAGGAAGACAAATTCACGCGAGATAGTCATTTAAGCATAAATCAAAATGACGCACCACGATCAGGAGACACCTGCTTTCCCGACTCGTGAATGTGCTTGGTGCCAGATCGCCTTGAGCACACACCTGAACTTCTCGAAACACTCTTCTTGGACGCATGCCCCATAGGAGGTTCTGAAGGAGTAACGAATTCTTCATCTAAGGAAGAAGAGCCACGACCGGCCGATCGTTTGAACTCGTAAAATTGTGATAAAAATTGTTCCGCATCAGCATCCTCAGAGAAGTAAACAATAAGCACTTTAGTAAATCGAGTGAAAATACATTTCGTAAAGTAGTATGTATGCTCACTTTTCCATAGAGCAGCACATCTGGTTCATTTTCAATCTCCTCAAGGCCTTTCTGAAACAATGGCCGATTTCTGCTAACTGCATATTTATGCTTCCAGCGTTCATAGGGAAAGATATCCTTGGGAGCTAAAAAGTAACTGGGAGAAAAATTGAGCAAAAAAAGAAACTTACACTTCATGCGTACCATAGAAAAAAATAGGATATTTGCCCTTTGGAACCTTCACGTCATTGGGGAGAACATTGATCTGTAAAGAGCAATTAAAATACCACTCGAAGCGGACATACACGTGCAGGCCAATGGGGAAACCCCTTCACCTTGGCGAAAATTCGATCACAGGGCTTATATGCCATCAAAATGTCTTCACTAGACTGCCCTTACTGTTTATCCCTTTCAGCAACCACCTCAAAGCAAAAGATATAACCAGAAAAGAGGCAAGCAGTGAATGAGTGAATCCAAAAAGATTTGGTGGTGTTCAAGCCAAAATCAGTGATAGAAAATTAACAAATGACACATTCACGACGTGATACACTTAGACGACACAGTTTTAAGTAAGGTCTAAACGATAAGGAGTGAAATTTTTCAAAACACAAACGGAGCAAGTCAGTTCACTATCCCTATTGAACCAACAAGCTTAAAGGACTCACTGGCTTAGCCACTCATAATTTCCACTGTCCAAAACAAACAACAATAAAAGCCCAGCAGTAAACGATTTTGTGAAAAATATGAACTGCAAATTATCATGGCGAGTAGCAAATGTTCTCAGAGCTTAAAATATCCGATGTAGCTTAGGGCTCACGAGTTATCGTAATAAGTACCGACACTGTAATTTGAAAATTTAAACAGATAAAATTGAGAATTAAATGAACTACCAACGCACTGAAAAAAATCCACTAGCTGGGAGAAAATAAAGGAAAAACACACCTAGCTATCTAATTCGGAAAAAAGAGGGAACTCCTAGGAATAAGCAAATTCCATACCAAGACTAAGCCATTAAATAAAACTTAGAACTAGCGTTCTGTTTCAAAACAAAGCAACTAGCATGCTGAGCACCGCAACGAAGGGCAACAGCGCATGCGTCAACGTTAATACAGAATTTTCAAGAGCGCGCCTCGCAAGAGTAGAGAACTTATACAACATCCCCAATAGGTAATTTTATCATGCTGCAGCTTTATGAAGACTGGCCACTTAAGTAACTTTATTCTTTAAGTTATTAGTGACACAAAAATAAGTGGGATGCGCACTACATTAAAAATCACATATACAAGTTGAAAGAGCAAACAAATAAGGTGTGCAAACATTTGACGAAAGCCGAGATTTTCATGCATGAAAAATAAAAAATTCCATACACAACAACTAACATTTGCGGGACACAGAAGGCTCAGCATGAAAGGTAACATTGACTATAGTTAGGCATTAAAATAAAAGAAGTTTATGCTAAATCAGTTTTTTGTTATGAAGTATCAAATTCAAATAATTACCTCCAACAAATAAACATTAAACTGCCTTAAATGTAGTAACTGGTGAAAGCTACTTTTCGTAATGCTCAAAATGCCTTTTGCATTTTATTATTAAAGGTTAAGTTAGTTTTAATGGCTTAATAGGGGACTGGTCCATGAACTTTTAATTGCGGTGACCAACTTGGTTTTTGCGGATCATCGTGGTTAGTCAGGCCGTATTTCTTGGGCAGTGGTGAGCGTTTAGTTCTGTTTGAGTCGTAACTGCGACCGGTTTCATTTGCATCCTAAGGAAGCGAATTTTATAACTTTTGAAGATAGGTTTTTTCCCGTATTTTGAATTCATATTTTTGGTAAGGCTTCGCTTATTCTCCTTATTTTCATCTGAACTCTTAGTTATTTAGTTGGATACTGACCCCACTATTAACTTTATAACTAGCATTACATTTTTAATGCAAGTAAAGGGGTGATCGTACCACCGTTTTACTCCATTAAATCATTTTTACTCTATTGAATCCCCTTGTTTGTGCCAGCAGTTTTGTTTCGCAAATACTCCCTTTTTGTTCTGCTAATAAATGTCAGTTGCTGTTACAACTAGTTAAAAGTGTGAGGCGATAATGTCGACAAAGGATGACAGTCAGACCAACGAATGTAGGTCAGATAATCAATTTGATCCATCTGCAAGAAAACTACAGTACTCTCTTCCAAAGAGTTTTACTCTTGGACCAGCTGAATATGCGGCGTCAAAGTCTCCTGGAGCTTCTAGTCGCTTCTTTAAAAGTAGGTGCCAGACCAAATTTTACTGCCTACACATGAATTTGTTTGTATGAAGCGATGTAATGATTTCGTTAGAATTGGTTGGCTTATTAAGCTTTGAAAATCATCCTTCCATGAGTACCACACCATCATTGCTATCCATGCATGGCTTTGCATAACCGGTTTGTATCCTCAGTCAACAAGTTTGGCTATTTTGCTTATTTCGCCAACGCCATCTACTTTTGAGTAGCTTAGATTTCTATGGCTAGTCTCTTCACTGCTTGGTTCTTGTGACGTTGCACAGCAGATGTTCGTGGTTTTAGTGCAAACACTCTTAGAAGTATTATCATGCGGAGATTAACTTGCTTCTCTTTCCTTTTAGTGGGTGTGCTAATGTTTGTTACGAAAAAGTTATTTTAATTCATGAATTTGGGAATGCCTCCTTTTGCACAATTTTTACATAAAATCTACGTTTGTTCACACAGACAAATCCAGTTGACATGCAGTTTCTTCTATCTTGAATAAGTGTATTAATTCAACTTGGGTATCTGAACGACCGTTATATTGTAGGGAGCTGTATAAATGCAAAAGTTCTGGCGAAGTTAGCTTAATCAAATTTGTCTAGACATTTAAACGTAGGAATAAGTACTGCTGATTCTTACAAAACTACCTGTATAACTTTGATATAATTGGATGCTGATTCATTATTTATCGAAAAGCATGGGGTTCAAGAAATAATCACTGAGGTAAAATTTTGCTCTTGAGAAAGAACAAAAAACCTGCGGCTAAGATGTTTTATGAGAGCCAAATGTAGTAGATTTTTACTACAATGGCGTCTCTTAATGAACAGATGTGGCGTGCCTTTAAAGCTTTCTATTATTAAAATTGGTGGTAGTCGTCGCCACTTGGAGTAGCTGATGATGCGTTGATATGCGGAAGTTTTCTGGACGTCGACACATTAACACCGCTCCTGATTCCCCTAATGGAATACACTTAAGGCAAATTTGCGGATGTTGGAAGTTGAGGATTTTTGTCTTCATTCCAACATGCATCATGCTCCATTGATAGTCTTTGATTGCTGCTATTCTTGTGCCTTTCCTCTCTTAGTCCATTATCTCAGTCTTCTTAGAGGAAGGATGGTTGGGCGATGATTTACTAGACATTCCTTTATAGACACATTCAAAGTGGATATAACTACATGTAGGATATCTAGACTAGTTCGAGGGTGGTTTCTCGATGTTTGAATTTAATTCGCGCCTCCCTCCTACAAAGCACAAATTGAACAACCGATGCGTATTGCGCCACCATATTGGACTTGGCACTAGAGATTAGTGTCTACCACTATCATCAGGGTACACAGCTGCAATGCAAATTGGTGGGGATTATAAATGCATATTCATATTCAAGTGTATTTGAATTTACATGAATCAAGTCAATGGTGCAATTCTCTCTACCAAATGTGGCCTTATCAAACTTGCATAAACGATCTCCAGTAACTTACATCAAAGTTTAAACAATTGAAGGCGTTATTTTACTACATACACTTATTGAGTGTTGAAATTAAATCCTTGGTCATTTGCCTTGCTTTGGTGAATTTTCTAAACTAAACAACTTATGTATCAGTCACTTTCCAAGTTAGGACTGCTGCCAGTTTCACAGTTCCTAGAGCCGATATATGCGCAGTCAACAAAATATTTACATTTTAATCTCTTTCACTGTTTTAAGTGGATTTCTCATTCACTGACCTAGTTTCTCTGAGCTTCCATATTTAAAGCCATCGACTTACTTATTTTTTATATGTACCGGTCTATTTCGTTAATTTAAGCTTGAAGGATATTTAAACAGATATAGGATACTTTCATTCTCTACTAGAATGGTGCCCAAAATAAGTAATAGAGGCAGGGAAGGGAACTATTTGTTGGTTCACAGCACTTCTGTGTGGGCCGAGCTGGAGGCGACTCACTGTTTTAGCCGGATCTGGTGCATTCAGAACTGTCTTTTTTCCTCCTTATCCCTTTTTTTTTCACTTTTTAATGAATGTCTCGGTGTTCTCCTCTAAGCTTACTGGTTACCTTCTGATTGGCTGTAGGTCCCTGCAAACAAAACTACCAAAGTGATTTGATTAATGCTAAAGACATGCAAGTTACATAATATTGCATCCATGGTGTTTTACTGCATACCGAAGCATCGGTAGGTACAGTTCAGCTAAATACTATCTGATCTACCTCGGGACATTTCATATTTGTCCCGATTGACCAGAGTCACGCAAATTCTGAAACGGCAATTTCAAAAGAACTATAATTGAAAAGAGCAAATTGTGAATTTAGGCAATAGGATAATGGATCAAGCCTTTTGTAATAAATTTTCTTCAAACACATTTTGCTTTAAACATTGCCTACTTAAGTGTTAACAAAATATTTTGTTGCATTTTTACGGATGCAGTGGCTCATCATTATCGCAGAATCTCATTGTAGCAAAGTGTTAGTTGATGCACATGTTTGACTTAATGATGATTGGAAATGGTGGTCATTAGTCGACGTGTTTTACTTGCCGTTTGTACAGCCTTTCGTGCTCAGCGCAGGAATTCGTCGGCTGTAAAATTCTCCTCCTCATCAAAATTGCCTTCCGAGTGCCACTTGTTATCTCGCAGTACGATCGCGTCGGAATCACCCTGTATGAATTCGATGTCATCAAATATCAAATCACGATTGCATCGCTCAGCAGGTAGCATAAACCTCTGTGACGATGCAACGAACACATCTTCACCCCCTCTAGAGCACAAGGAACCCCTCTCCACAATAACTAGCGACACTAACAATACCTCCCCAGTATCAAAGAATGCTGCTCGCCAAGGGCAGGGCAAACCGCGTCAGCTAAAACGCCGAAGAGCAGCAGGAGGCGGCGGGGGTCTGCAACCGAAGGCGGGCTCCGTGGAGCCGCAAACTGAAGCGATACTAACGATACCTGAGGCTCCTGTTTTTCACGATGATTGCTCTGTGATGGTCTATTCGAAGTCTACGGACCAGTCGTTTATTAGCAACAGTGACGGGCTCAGTCCTCGTCGGAGGACACGATCAGCGTCAGGTTCCAACACCAAATTAGGCTCCCTGTGGTCCTTTATTTGCAATGGTAACCCAGCCAATTCAAGTATGCGAAGGACTAATGAATCAGTTGCTGTGCCTCCGTGAGTTTTCGACCAACCATTCAATACCTGCTTTGTGCACATATACATAGTAAAGGTTGTGGATGCTTATTTCAATCGGTTCGATGCAGACTAATGTTGAACGTTTTTGTAGAAACTTTAGAAAAATATCAGTTTGTGCAGAGAACAAGAATTCCGACTCAAGCCAACTCTGAACCATTTGCACACCGACAGTGTTAATGAGCTGGAGTGACCTCAAAAAGAAACATTTTACTAATTTTCGGAAAGGCTCCTAGTGCATGACAGGTAAAGCTACACCTAAAAAGCTGGCAAATCTGTCACGATGATAGCGCTGACGTCTATTTAGGTTTGATGACCATGATAATGTTGTCTGATGATGCAGTCTTTCATGATAAACATTTTAAGATACGAAGATCAAATAAATTTGTCCACTTCACTTACTGCATTACTTGTACTTGAAGCAATTTTTGGCGTACGCGTCGATTAGTGTCAGAGGTACGTCATTGTACTCGTATCTGGTATTGGCGAAAGCAAAATGACATTGGTACTTCTGGGTGTTCTGCGTCTGCTCTTAAGTCCCAATATAAAAGCTTTATAGAAAGAAGTGTGTTCTGTCTATTGACTGATGCCATTGCTAATCCATAACATAGAATGTAAAGCATTGTCTGTGATAAACAGTTATTAAAATAAAAGCACTTGTGAAAATTATTCTTGAGTCTTTTGCTATTTTCGAAACCCTAATTATCAAATTCGGATGCGGTCGATTGATAATATTCACACCGTTTTTAGTTTCTATGCTGAAGGGTGCTGGAACTGACTCCTGTTTAGGTACTTCAAGCGACTGAGAACTATTATGCATGCATTTTTTTCCAATTTCTTTCTTTGTTTCACTGCTGACGTAAATTGTCTTCGCCATAATGAAAAGTAACGCAACGAACACCCATTCTAAAGCTCCCTTCTTTCCTTCCCTTTTTTCATACTGCGCATCTGCACTTGCATCAGTCGATGTGTCAACTTCCCTTTTTTCATAGTAGTTCTTGAATCTTAATAACTCCAGGAATGTGTTCCCCATTAGGTGAAAAATTTAAGCAAGTGTTGAGAGGTACTCATTTCAGGCACCTTGGTGATTCTTCGGATATGTCATTAGCGATGATGACATCATGCATCCCTTAAACGACGACCCTGTTTGCTCATAAAGCTGAGATAGAAGCGTAACCACTTGTAAATGATCTGTTTCTCTGTTTTATTGCGTACTGGACGGAAAACTAGCGCAAATCATTTGGATGCAATCTTATATTATGAAATCGCAAAAGGATTGACGACTTATGAGGGCTTTTGGTGTCCTGACTGAATGATGTGTTCCTCCGTTGGTAACATTTTTCTTAAGTATGGTCCTAGCAGTCTCAAGTATTATCTTGGTCTGTGAATGCCAGATCAATACCAAGTTCGTGAACTGCCGCGGGTCATAGGCCTTCTTTTTGTTACAGGTTGAAATTCCATCCCTATTTGCATAACATGTTGTGTTCATATAAAAAAGCATCAATGGCATATCGTGGTGAATGAATTTGCGAACACTGCAGCAGCCATTAACGCTGCGTGTGATAGGGACTCACACATGTTTTTGGATAAATTATGTTAGTTACAAAGTAACTATAGCAACTCTCTTCGTCATATGCGAGGTGGACTTCTCAATTTCAGTTGATCTTTTCACACACTCAAATAATATTTTTGTTCACTGTCTCGGAGACTGTCAGAAAACTTCCATTCAACGTTGATTGTCAGACCCGTCAAAATGTGCTGCTTTCGGCAACCCGTAGTCGAAGTAACAATTTTTATTGGTCTTTATCTATAGTCTTGTACTGACACTCATTGAAGTCGTTACTTGTGAAATACTCAGCTTGTCAATTATTAATTCTGCTTAATAAATGACTCCTTACCATTGTAATCATTATTACTTTTCGAAAATACGACTTCCGTGTTTTAACGTCTGCATACACATTTTATAACATTGCGTAGGCTTTAAAAATATTCAGGAACAGATGGTAGCATCTGGCTCAAATGACCTGCTACCGATATTTCTAACAAAAATGGTACATTTACGAGCAATTCGCAAACCTTTAAATACGTGGTATTTCGGATTTGTGGTTGGTGGGCGTTTGTCACAAGGATGAAGGCGTGTTTATTAACGGCCACAAATGCCTTTGCATTTGGTTGCAATGCCCGCGTTACGATATGGTTTGTCCTTTTGAAGCTGGTATTTGACAAACAAGCGCTCCATGGTTTAAGATCAATAACATACGGCAACTGTGTCCCAAGATCAAAACAAAATGCCGACTTATTTGACAAAATGGGACTTTAGATGAGGAGAATGACTATGGTGTGTATAACTCGATTTCGTGGGGGGTCCACAAGTGTGTGGTCCTTATCAGAAGCGTTGCTCACTTTGTGTTTAGAAGTGATTTCATCAGATTTGGTTTGGAAATATTAATACGATACTGGATAGGTCCACCGTTATAACTAAGTGTCATAAACCATATGTAAGTGGTAGATAAATTTGGGCACATTTTGAAGTAGCCAAGGGGAGAAGTAAATAATATCTTTATGTGAAAACTACTTTTCTCAACCGGACATATTCGATGGTAAGTGCATCTGGAGCATCTGTGTGCAGGATTTTCCAAACACGGATCTGTAAACAGCGGCAGTTCGGGATATTTGAAAAATTTGCACTTATTTGAGTCTTCCAAGACACGGAGTGATGGAATACAAAAACGATCACAGCCTTAGTTTCATCAGGTTAATGCACTGCTCTAAAGTCGTTTAATGATAACAGAGCAGGACCAAATAATGGATACAAACGCCACTTGACAGCAATTCCCCATAGTTGGGAAAATTTTATCTCATAAGTAATGTTATTTGGATGTGCAGCGTCTCTTGCCTTCTCCAGCATCTCAGCCCTCTTAGAAGGAGGAATACTAGGCGACGCTTTATTTGGCATTCCTAAAGGTACAAGCAAAAATGGGAACAAGTAAAGAAAATAGCATCTAGGCTAGTTCGGGCGCTTGAATTGGCTCCCAGTCTCTTCTCTACAAAACGTAGTTTGAAAAACAACATGTATTACAGATCACTGCCTAAAAGTAAAACTACTCAGTGATTCAACTATTCACTGGATCTCCAAAATTTCCTGATCGCTTGCTTAGTCACCTGTCTTCTGGACAAAGATGTGCATTGTCCCCATTATTGCAAGAGGCATCGCAGGAAGTTATTATCTAAACCGTAAACGAAATGCCAAAATCACAAATTTAAACTTAATTGCACAAAGAACTCTCGGATCTTCAGACGCTAAACGTACTTTGATGCACGCACTAGCGGCCATTTTAATCATGTTTTGAATCTTATTTCTACCCCTTCCAAGAATTTTATAACAGGTCAATTCTACTTCATTTCAGGGGGACAACGCTGAAGCAAGTCAAAAGCGGAGCCTTTCAGATGCGTCTAAGGCAGAAGAAAGAGGCCACGAGAATTCAAAGATCAAACAGAGTGGAGGGAATTCAAACATCGTCATCACACTACGAGCTGACTGGATCGAGAAAACAGAATTTCGGCTGTGGAAAGCACCCAAAATCTCGCAGTCAGGAAAGACCTAGATCTGAAGGTAATACCCATGTTTGGTTATCGTAAATAATGAATTCCTGAACCATTTGAAAAGGATCCAACCGTTGTTGTAGTCAATCATGACATGGGTCACGTCGAGTTGTGTATGTAAGCACAGTTACTAAGTCACCCATTGCGGTTTGTGACTTCAAAAAATGCTGCTTCCCCTTCTTCCCCTAGTTTTTTCGCCCATTAATTCATCTGACCCCTTTCGCACACACATTGACCAGTTTCAAAAATAAATAGTTTTTCGGCATGACTATTCGAATGCATATTAGACATAGGTAATAGTGTGCTTTCTTTAAACTCGGCTCGGTATCAGTCCACTCACAAGGCAGGGATATCAAAACACGGGCGAAACACCGAAGCATTCTCCGGAGGAACGTCTAATTCCATTACTAAATGCATATTTTGCCAGATGTTAAATACTTTAGCCAGTAAATGCTGATTTATGACAACATAAAGACAGTAATTTACTGCAGTCTTGTGGCTAATCTCTGTAGGAGCGTAGCGATATTGTTTGGTTTGGACAACCAGAATTACTGGACATTCATCGCCAAAAATACATTTGCATGGGTTAAGTCCTTTCTCCAAGAAGTAAGTTGGCATGCAAGCGGAGATAGAAATTCATTTTATAACCTTGGATGTTGGATGAATCAGATTGCATTCTATTCAGTCTATAGTCATTATAGATTACGGGATGAAGTATTTCTTCAAAAGTTTATTACTGACTTTTATTAAGACAAAATAGGGAATGCATCACTTAGCTTAGGCAAACGTAAAGAATGTCTGCTCCTACTGATCCATATTTGAGGCGATTCGATGGATTTAGAAAGTCCTCAATGGGGCACACTCTTGAATGCGGCCGTTTGGTGCACCTTCTTATGATTTGACTTTGCCTTCCTTAAAATCTATGGCGCAACTACCTTACTTTCAACGCTTCAAATGGGCTTCACGTACTGGTTCGCCCAGGAGAAATATGATTTTTGTCCATGCATTAAATAATAGGCATTTGTGTTTGCGATATCTCACGGCATTGCGGAGTTGTGGTGCGCCAAAAAACAGAAACTAGGAGGACCGCCCTGACTCCTCAGGGGAAGAAAGTGCTGCAGAAATCAACATAGCTGAGGATAAAACCACAAGCATATTCGCATTTACTGCGACGCTGCCACAACCTCGAATTTGAGAGAGTTGCATCCACTTAATAAAGTAAAATCGTTTTTGGTCCGAAAGGTAGTTACGCTTCCTATGTCAGTGGCAGTTCGTCTGTTACGAACTTCAGTTTTATGGGATAAATTGTCCTCCTTCAGTTGTCATTTATTTTGAAGCACCTCTCACACAATGGCATTTTCTTGGCTTTTAAGTCGACTTGGAAATCTAGTACCTGAGACTTGGTTTTACTTTAATTAACCTGACCAAATTACAGGGAGTTGTAATTGACCTGTTAGCAGATGAACTTGCAGGTCCTTGGGAAATTTTATGTTCTTTTGTTCCACTAATATTTTTTAAAGACCTCCAGAGCATATGTTTAGATGGATGAAAAATGCAAAATTTGTGATAACATTTTTCTCGCATTCATAATCCGTTCGACGAAATTTCACCATAAAACTACAGGAGTAGTTTACAATTCTTCGAGAACTTCCTTCCATATGCAGTATGGTGCATCGCCAGTATGCATATATACGCAGCAACTGGACTAACCTAATCAAGAAACTCAGTTGAACATTTTGGATGCGCTCATTGTCTTATCAATAGTTCGTCGAATAATAATGGTCTCATGAATCCGAAAGGTCTCCCTATTAATACCCGAACCTTTATGTGCCAAAACCGACTTCACTACATGCACTGAAAGTGTTCTTACTCTGTGCATACCGTCAATCGAGTCACGTTCTCCTTTCATATTGAAAATTCCAACTATATTCAAATTGCGTCCAGTTGAAACAAACGTTTATGCGTTCAAGTATCTTGTACTCCAGGACATCGGGTTAAGATTTTCCTAGCACACATTTACTTGGTTTCAACTGCTATTACTTAATCACATTTCGAAAGCAATCGTGCAGATTGTTTACTCATAAAGAGACCAAAAATAGGCAACCCCTTTGGAAGTGCTCGTGGGCAAATAGATCCATTTTCAGACCGCATAGGATTTCGACCATTTTAAATAAGACTTTGCTAATTAATCTAGAATGCAAAAACTCCATTTGCTAAGTGATTGAAAATTTCAAAGGTGTGTGTTTTTCATGGTATATTAGTTACCTCAGATTCACTTTGTACGCTCGAGAAAATTCAATTAGTCTGAGGGCTGTTTTCGTATGGACATCCATGATGGGAACGATGACAATTATCTTTCCTTAACTGCAATATGCATTCACTTCACTCATTCATTGTGCAAGTCGTAGAAGAATGCGATCGCAACCGGTACCTAGAACAGTAACGATGTTCTTGTACAATCAGGTCATCCTGAGCTTGCATGACTCGGGTCAAGAAAATTCGACAAAAAGTGTTGAAAAGCTAATGTCATTGTTCCTATTTACATTCCGCAGCTTTACTGCATTTAAAAAAGTGCTTAAACGTACTCAAATGAAAGGATTTGCTGAGTTCAAACTACTCTCAGTCGAAGCATGTAAAATGTCTACCATTAATTTCATCGGGTGCTGGCAGTGGATGTAAAATTCAACTGTTGCATAAAGTTGAACATTGGTGGGTATTATTAAATTTACTTTCGTGCTTTACCTTATGCGTTACGCATATTCAATTGTGGTAGTTCGATTACCCTTTACCTGTCGACCACTGCTTAACTACCTGTTCCAAGGTAAGGCTGTTAAATTTGGTTTCTCTGTCTCCTAACGTCCATTTACAACAGCCAACTGTTTAGCTGAAAACAAAGCACATTGGTGATGTCAGTCAGTATATTTACGCACCTCAAAAACATTTATTTATATTCTTCATGATTTGTAGAAACAGTGTACATTTTTATTAGGATTTTGAGGTGGGGTGCAATTTAAGTTCATCGACGAGCAATGCTTAACAAGTTTAGGAAGAAATGAAACGAATAACTGTCTACGCCGTTAGATTTGTCAAGAGAATGCAGCATGGCGCAAGCAAGCTGAATATCAATCCTACATGACCTGTCAACATTTTTTCGATGTAAGTCATTTAAAGGACGAAGTGTTGAATTGTTTCGACATTCACTGACCGTGTTTTCAAATTTATGCACACTTTGATGTATCGGCATTGAATCTATGGTCTTCACGAACTTGGCATCACGTATTAAGTAATATGCTTATGATGGTAGGTTTTGGAGTCGCGGACACGACAGGTTTTACACTGGCGGTAACGGGGGCGGAGACGGAAGTGGAAGCGAGAGCAGCGGACGGAGTTAGAGCAGCAACTAGTTCTGGTCGGGTGGGCGACGACAGTGGCATCTCCTGTCGGTCTGGCGCTACGTGGCGCTCCCGAGGATCCTCCGCTGCACGATCTGCCACGGCGGGAATCGAGTCGTTCGGCGCTATTGAGTCTTACAAGAAGCTAGAGGTGCTGGGCGAAGGCTCCTATGCCACCGTCTACCGTGGATTTTCGCAGTAAGTCATTGCGACTGACAGCACCTTTTCACCCTATCAAGTCATAGCCAAAATCCTAAGTTACGTGTGATCAGCTCAATTCATTTCCTCCAAATTATTTTGAGGGTCATCTAATAGAAAAACAAGACGGCAATAAAGCTCACGAGTTATCCATTTATAATCCTTATGTGAGTAAATTAAAACAGTAAAGCAACAGGAACTGTTGCAAGATTAGTTTCATCATCTCCCCTAACTTTGGAACAACCTTCAATATCCTTGGAACTAAACGAAATGGTTGAAAGCGACTGTCCTTTGGTTAACTAGAACGTCATGATGAAAAGTAAATGGCATTATTCCAGATGTAACCAGCCATACGCTTAGATGCAGAAAATCGACTATTAAAACCCAGAATGATAAAGTCAATTCTTTTCTAGGATACTATGGGCGAATGCACTTGTTATATTTCGATCCTCTACAAGGCTAACTTAAAAATTTTTATTAATAAATAGACCTTTTTGTTTTGCAACTGCAACAAGATCCATCTAAAACCTGCACTACAGTATACTGGAAAGCATACTACTACTAATTATTTTCAACGATGTCGTGGTCATCAAAGTATGAAGTTAAATTGATGAGTAAATGGCCATACCAAATCACGAAAATTGTGGAAGGTAAGGAGCTCGTATATAGCTTTCCGCCCTTAATAGAACTATCTGCAGCAATAATTCAAGTACGCACATTGACTACCCTTGCTTTCGTCCGGACCCTCTAGTTGGTATTCATATTTGATTATTTACTTTTTATTTTTTTACTGTTTTGAAGCTTCGCATTTTATTGCTCTGATTGTTCCCTTCACATTATACCCAACACTGGCTTGCAAAAGCAGATGTATCCATTCTGGCGACAACAATGGCCTTTATTAAAACTTTAATGCTCTAAACATTGCCTCTTTCAAAGCCTTCAAACAAGTGGGAGTTTGGGATGGGGATCAGTTTCTGGCAACATAATGTTTAGTAAAATAAACCAAACACGGGAAGTCAACCATACAGAAATTAACCGTTTCGATACTCTTACTATCACAAATTCCATCTTACACATTGTGTCGAAATAGTAAACCTCTCTGAGATGTTGTAACTGTGCATCTGCAACTCACTCGAAATCACAAACGACACCATGTAAACCTGGGAACTTCACCATTATGACGATGAAATAAATTTGTGTGTGGTGTGCAAACAGCATCGACACATCTTCCCCAACTTTGCAGTCTCACCAACCGCGTGGTCGCTGTGAAGGAAATTCGGATTAACCAAGAGGAAGGACTCCCTTTCACGGCGATTAGAGAAGGTAAAGCCTTCAGTTGTGTTTGGATGTGTGTGGATTCAGAACTTTTTTATGTATGTATCAATTGCATACTTTCTTGGGTTTGACAAGCCAATTTGAGTAGTGTTTATAGCTAGGCCGTTAAATGGGACCTCCCCACGAAACGGCTGCCTTCATTTTGCACTCCGTTGGTCGGGCGCCTCTAAAATTGCGGCGCCAAAACATTGCTTAGATGTGTGTGTGTGTGTGTGTGT